AGTGGTATCTTGTTCCCATTTCCGTGTATTCCGTTTCTCCGGATGTGAACATTTTATTAGTTATTTGTGTTTAGTCTCGATGTGACTTACATACTTTCTTCAAATTAAAGATATTCATCCTTGTCACAGAAATGTTTGTTCTGCCCTGGCCGGTTTGGCTCAGCGGTTCGAGTCGGCCTGCGGACCAGAGAGTCCCAGGTTCGGTTCCTGCTAGGGGCACGTACCAAAAAAGAGAAAAGAAATGTTTGTTCTTTAATTTTTGTCCCTTTTTCTTTTTCTTTTTAAGAACAGTTTTGGGTTCACAGCAAAACAGGGCAGAAAGTAGAGCGGTTTCTCGAGTACATACCCCTGCGGCCCTGTGCACAGCCTCCCCCACCCTCGCCATCCCCACCGGAGGTGCATCGGTTGCAGTGCATGAACACTGCTGTGTCACCGCCACCCAGGGTCCACAGGGTGCATGGGGCACTCTTGGTGGTGTACACCTGTGGGCAGGGACAACGTGAAGTGACTGTGTCTACCACTGCGTACCGTACAGAGTAGGCTCACTGGCCCGAAAACCCTCTGCTCCGCCTGCCCCGCCCCCAGCCGCGGTCTCTCCTGTCTCCATAGCTTTGCCTCTGGCAGAGCGTCAGGCAGTTGGGCTCACACAGCGTGTCCCTCTCAGATCGGCTTTTCGTTTGGTCTGTGCCTTCGTCTCCCCCATGTCTTTCCTGGCTTCAGAGCTCACTCCTGCTTAGTGCTAAGTGATACTCTGTCATCTGGAGGTGCCGGGGCTGGTTTGTCCACTCACCCGGCGATTACGAGGGGCCACCAAAGGGGACACTGTCTCCAGCCCCTCTCCCCACTCCTCCCCACCGCCGCTCCGCACACACCCTGCACCACCTGCCAAGCCCTGCGCGCCCTTCCCAACGCGCCCTGTCCCGCTCACCCCACGAGGCAGCCAAGGGTTCCGGAATCCAGATCTGGGACAGAGTCATGGGTGGAAGACCCCTGTGCCAATGCTGTGGCCCAGGGGACTGGTCCCCGTGGGGAGGGAGCCCCGGAGAGACGCCCCCCACCTCCCCGCAGCAACATGCCTCCAGGCAGAAGTCAGCTTAAGCCTTCCCCAGCTCCTTAGTGGGAAATTATTTGCATGAATTAGTTGATTGATGAGTTAATTGAAGACACTGTGCTTGGTGTGACGATACCACTGGCGTTCTATTAACTTATTGTTGAGCTGACTCAAAAGTCTCAGAAAAAAGAAAAACAAGAGCAAATGTAATTAGTTTGGTTATTTGAACATGTTACAATCTGGCCCGAGGCCCCTGACCTTGAGAAGCACAGCTCAGTCCTGCCCGTGTGGCTCAGTGGGTTGTCATCCCATGGACTGACAGGTCCCAGTTCGATTTCCAGTCAGGGCACATGCCTGGGGTGTGGGCTCGATCTCCAGTAGGGGGCGTGCAGGACGCAGCCAATTGATGGATCTCTCTTGTATTGATGTTTCTCTCTCTCTCTCCCTTTCTCTTTCTCTAAAATAAAATAAAAATCAATAACACTTTTTTTTTTTTTTTTTAAGAGATGCCTGGCCTGTGTGGCTCAGTGGTTGATTATCAAACCCTGCACTAAGAGGTCGCTGGTTCCATTCCTGGTCAGGGCACATGCCCAATTTGTGGGCCAAATCCCCAGTGGGGGGCGTGCAGGAGGCGGCCAGTCAATGTTCTCTCTCACCAATGTTTCTGTCTCTCTCTCCCTCCCTCCGTCTCTCTATAAAATCAATGAAGAAAAAAAGTAAAAAATAGAAGAGAGAGAGAAAGAAGCACAGCTCAGTCATTTGTCATTTTTGTTTGAGAGCATCTGCTTCCTGTATGTTTCAGTACGTCTCTGTTGCAGCATAACAAGTAACTTTAAATGTTGCAACTTAAAACAACCACCTTTCATTTGCTCACAGTTCTCCTGGAGCCAGGCCGTCAGGCTGTTCTGCTGGGGCTCACTCAGGCCCCCTGGCCATCTGGGGGCAGGACAGGGTGGAGGGTCTGAGATGGCCTCTGGCCAGGCTTTGTGGGATCAGTGCTGACTGGCATCTCCCTCTCCTCTTGGTCTCTTGATTCCAGGCTTCTTGAGGCCAGAAACTCCCAGAATGTCACTTACACCACAGCGTGTTAGCCAAAGCAACTGGCAAGGCCTGCCCATGTTCAGGGGCAGAGCAGCGGACAGCACTGGACAGGATGAGTTGCAAGGACCGAGGCCGTCGCTGACCTGTGACTCTGCCAGCGCTGCCTGGCACAAGGAGAGAACCCCCTGCCCCGCCCGCTGTGGGGGTGCTGGACCCTGTCTTCTCTGCCTCCTGGTGATCCTTAGAGAAGGACAGAAACTGGGAGACGTGACATTTCTTCTTCTTTTTAAATCCTCACCCAAGGATACTTTTCCATTTATCTTCAGATAGAGAGGGAGGGAGGGAGAGAGAGAGAGAAAAACATTGACATGAAAGAGACACATCGACTGGCTCCCTCCCACATAACCCCAAACAGGTCCGTGACCTGACCGAATCCAAGGTACATGCCCTTGACCGGAATCGAACCTGCACCTCTGGTCCACGGGCCAACACTCAACGGCTGAGCCAGGGTAACACATTTCTTAATGTTGAACATCTTCTGGCTTTAGCTACAAAACATTGTAACTTCCAGCACCTCAGGGGTTATAACCTAGATGAACCATCCCTGCCCCTTTAATGCACCACACATAATTTTATGAACAAACCAATTATCTGCAGCAACATGAATCTGTCTAAAACCGAGTGCTCCACCTGTGTAAAAAGAGAAAAAAATGGAAACTGTATATATTTCCATTTTCCCAAGGTTTTATTTCCTTACGATTTTTTCCCCAGCCTGTGCTGGGAGCTGGGGATGCAGAAGCCACCAAGAAACGGCCCCTGACCCCGTGGCAACCAGTCTTGAGGTGGACACAGGTGTCCACCTAGGTGGCCCAGATGACCATCCAGGCATCTGCTGCGACAGGTCCTGAAGAATGGAGAAATGAGGCCCCGCAGCTTTGCTCCAGGGTGAACTTGTGGAACCTGGCTGTAGGTCCCAAGCACAATGTCTTGAATTAATTCATCAATCAATTAATTCATGCAAATAATTTCCCAGTAAGGAGCTGGGGAAGGCTTAAGCCGACTTCTGCCTGGAGGCAGGTTGCTGCAGGGAGGTGGGGGGGCGTCTCTCCGGGGCTCCCTCCCCACCAGGGACCAGTCCTTCGGGCCACCGCAGTGGAGCAGGGGTCTTCCACCCATGACTGTCCGAATGTGTCTCTGTCCTGGATCTGATTTCTTGAACCCTGGCATGGGACGTGTTGGAAAGGGCTTGCGGTTTTGGAGGGTGGTGCTGGGTGCGTTCGGAGTGGGGGTGGGGAGGTTGGGGAGAGGGGTTGGAAATAATGCCACCCTTTGATGGCCCCTCTCGGCGGGTTTGGAGGCGAGCCCAGGATGGGCAGGCGGGCAGGGAAATCCGAGCACAGGCTCTCCTGCCACTGGGGCCTGGTGGGGTGGGGTGGGGGTGTCTTCAGACCTGCAACTTGCCTCGTTCTGCAAACAGCAATAGCACAGTGCAGCTCGGGCAGGGTCCACCCGTGGGAAGCGGGGATCCCTCAGCCTGTCTGTCCCCGTTTGCCATGTGGCAGCTGTGGTTCAGCTTATCTGCCGACCTTTCCACCGGGCTGTTTCCACCAGTCTCCTCTGGGACAACCCGGGTGCCCCGCGGGAACGGAGGGTGCGGCCTTCCCGCCTCTAGCAGGTAGGGCAGCGGAGCCGCCTGGGCCCGCACACCCGGCCCGCGGTGTCCGGAAGCTGCTCCGATCCTGCCGAGGCGGCCTTTGTCGTCCGGAATCTCCAGTCACGAGGGCTGTGCTCAGACAGTCCAGAGTGGCTTCAGTCACAGGCGTGGCGCCCTCTGAAGGCGTGTCCGGAGATCGGTCACCCCTGACACCGACGTTCTGGGCTGCACCCCCGAGCAGGGAGCCGCGATGGCCGCCGCCTCTCGCCCACGCTCGCCCTCACCCCGCCGTGTTTTAGCCACATTCGCTGGACGTTACTGTTCGACCCCGAGCGGCCACATTTAACCTGTGATGGGGCTGAATCCACGCAATAACGGTTCGCATCTGGGATTCTAAACAAATTCATGAGAAAACTGTAAAGCCGAATAAGTGGGATTGTGTTGCTGAACTTTGAACGTAGAAGCAGTAAAAGATGCTGGTGAGGACATGGGCCACAAAGCTTGGGTTCGGGTCCCAGCTCCGCCACCTGCCAGCCGTGTGACCCCAGGAAGGGTGCTCAGCCTCTCTGCGCCTCTTCTGCACGTCGTGGGTCCTGATGCCTCTCATTCCGAAGGATTCTTGTGATGATGATAACAGCACGTGAGAATTGGCTAACCCGGGGCCAGGCCCACGCAGAGTGTTTAATAAATGTTCACTATTAGTATTAATAATGTTAGTAACCCAGATGTTTCCTGACGGAACCAGTGCTTTTTCAGGAACATGGGGAACTGGTCTGAGCCCTAGCGGAAGCCCCACGCTGTCTGACATGGGCAGGACACCGCCCGAGGACCCGGGTGCCCAGCACTGAGCGCTCTGCAGCCCTTTCTTCTGCACAAAGTCCTGTGAGCAGCCTCATGTTGCAAACAAGAGGGCAGAGGCTCAGAGAGGCTTGGTGACTTGCCCGGTTCACACAGCGAGGGCGTGTCCACGTGACCTCATCTGTCAATGTGGAGAGGGATGGAAATTGATCACGAAAATGCTCTCCACATGTAAATGCCATTGGGTGTGACTGGTAGTGGACTCGTTCATTCATTCGTTCATTCATTCGTTCATTCATGGGTGTCTGGAGAGCCCGCTCCTTGCACTTGCTTTCAGGGGTCTGAGCGTCTCAGCCTGGCGAGCCTGTTTAAACAGTTTCCCCACACCCTCCCCGTCCTGCCCCCTGGGCTTCGAGGACAGAGAGATGTGTGGCCATCACATGCCTGCTCCCCCAGCTCCCCCTCCAGCGTCGATGCCCACCTGCGGTTCCCGGACGGCAGCGGCCTCCTGCAGACCCCGCGCTGGGATGAGCCGCAGAGGGCGCGTGCCCTGGAGCAGATCTGCGGCGTGTTCCGCGTGGACCTGGGACACATGCGCTCCCTGCGCCTTTTCTTCAGGTGAGAGCCAGCTGTCTGTGCAGGCGGGCCTGCGTGGTGTCCCTGCAGGCGGTGCTCGGGTCCCGGGCTCTGGCATCACTGATGCCATCGGCAGTGGGGCCCCGCGACGGCTGCCCCACAGGAAGTGGGGCGGGGTAGCTCCCAAACTCACTCCTCAACCTGCAGAGTGGCAGTGGCCAGCTGATGCGTGGGACTCTGGTTTGGGGGTCAGGGGACAAGTCGAACTGGTGGCTGCAGGCTGCTCCTCATCACGCACCAAGTGGCTCTTGATATCGGACGGGGCACCCTTTCCCTCGTGATGGGCAGACTATCCCGGTTAGTGTCCTGCCCAATAGCCACATCACACCCCTCCTGAAAGGCAGGGTACCCAGCTGCCACATGGCACCAGCCAAAGACCCCGCACTGAGAAGATGCCCGAGGGGCCCCAGACCCAGAGCCGCATTCCAGTCTCTTATGGACGGGCAGCCCAACCTGGTGGACGGGTGGCGACTTCCCGGAGGATTCTCCTAGAGTGCCACCCACGCCTGCTGGAGGAAGCCCTTGGCAGGAGGCTCTCCGATGCCGCCCCTCGGGGTTCAGACCTGATTCTGCTAACAGCACCTGCCCCCCCAACACTCTCCTGGAGAGAAGGGACCACATGTCCTGGCAGTCGAGGTCTCCTGGGGAGCAAATGAGGACACGCCTGGGTCCCTGCCTCCCTAGGAGGGAGCTCGCAAAGGGGGTGCTTGCTTCTGCCGGGATGTAACTCTGTCCCCCTCACGGGCCAGCAGCCCAACTCCGCAGGGACTTCCTGTTTCCTGCCTCCAAGGTCAGTGGTAGTGGCCTCTGATTATACTTGGCAATAAAACCCCATGTTTACACATTGGTCCCTTTTCCTCCCCGTCCCCGCCATGGCCCTCAGCGACGAGGCTTGTACCAGCGGCCAGCTGGTGGTCGCCAGCCGGGAGAGTCAGTACAAGGTCCTCCACTTCCACCACGGCGGCCTGGACAAGCTGGCGGACGTGCTTCAGCGGTGGCAGTACTGCGCCGAGACCCAGCTCAAGGACCAGGTAGCGCAGTGGAGAGGCCCCTGGAGACCCCGGCTGCGGAGCCCGCCCGCCTCCGCGGGGTCCCCGTTCCCCGCACATCTCCCCTCCCGCCTGCCTGGTGGGCTGGGACCTGGCCGAGAGGGCAGCGAGCCTGGGTTGAAAACCGGCGCCCAGGGCTGCTGGCAAAGCCAGGGCTTTGCTCTCGACGTCATGTTTTGACAAGGCTTCCTGCCATATTTTGCTCTATCTACATGCAGATGTAATAAGCACTCTTTCATTATCTGTTTAAGATACTGGATGTGCTTATTAGAAACAGGGCCGACGTTAGAAGCCCCTTCCCAGCGAGCCTCCTGCTGGCTCCCTTGTTACAGTAGCCCGGCTTTCTCCCCTCACTGAGCAACCTTTGATTTTTGAATTAAATGTCAGCTGCAGTTTTGCCTTGGATTCGTGACTGCCCGGGAGACAACCTGACAGGCGGGCTCCGCTGGCGAACAGCGGCCCCTTTGTATGTGGCCAATCACATGTAATTTACTGCAGGCCCTTCCGGCAGAGGCCAGGGGAGTTGGGCCCAATGAGGCATTAATTCCATTTTGCGGCTGGGGGTTGGAGGGAGAGTGGGGGGCGGCGACCGGGTTGGGGGGCAGGCCCTGGGGGGGGATTGCGCCGGGGAGCCCTGGCCGGGGAAACACGGGAAGATGATTCCGTTTTCATTGCGTTTGGTTACAGTTGTCACCTAGGGGTGTGTGCAGGGGAGAGGCGCCCCCTGCCTTCGGAAGAGAGGGAGAGGCTTGCCTGGACCCCGAAGAGCATGGCTGGCTTGACCCCTGTCGCTGGACACTTATCTTCCCACCTTCCTCCGGCCCAGCAGGTCGCCGACGAGAAGACGTGCATGACGTTCTCCATCCGGCGCCCCAAACTGCCGTCCTCCGAGACGCACCCCGAGGAGAGCATGTACCGCAGGCTGGACGTGTCGGCCTGGCTGCGGCACCTGAACCCGCTGGGCCAGGTGGAGGAGGAGTACACGCTGCGCAAGGTGAGCCGCCCAGGGGTGGGCCGGGGGCTCGGGGTTCCCTGCGCCCCTCCGCAAGGGCGGTGAATGCCGGGACGGAACGCGGGGATTAGGCCGCTGCGAGCACCACACGGCCCCCTGGGCGCCCCGGGGGGGCTTTGACATTGAAATGAGCCTGGCCCCTCCGGTATGGGAATGGGGGGCCGGCGCTTTCCCGCTCCAAACAAGTGCAAATCGCGCTCCCTGAATCAAGGCGGCAGTTGTCAGAGGGCGCAGCCCAGCCACCTCAACACAAACCTCGGGGACCTGGGGGGCTCGCGGGGCCCTCTGTCGGCCCCTCCCGACCGCTGCCCTTCCTCCAGGCCATTTTCTTCGGCGGCATTGATGTGTCAATCCGGGGCGAGGTCTGGCCCTTCCTGCTGCGCTACTACCGCGCCGAGTCCACGTCGGAGGAGCGGGAGGCGCTGCGGGCGCAGAAGCGGAAGGAATACGCCGAGATCCAGCGGAAACGGTAGCCGGCCGCGGCGGGGGGCGGGGCGCCCCAAAGGCCCTGCCAGGTGCCCGCGGGCGGCGACAGCTCGTTCTGGGGCCCTTCGTCCCTCTCTCGAGAATGGTCTCCCGCGAGCGCGCTCGTTGTCCCAGGCGCCCTTCAGGTCACATGTCACAGTTTTAAAATTCTTTTCGGCAGACTTACCTAGGCGCTGGGGTGGCGGCAGGGTCTCAGGGTCCCCCGAGAGCAGGGCGGCTGAGATCTCTCTGGGCCTGGTTGGCCCCAGGGCTGTGGTCAGCTCTCCTCCCGGGAGGCCAGGTTCATGCTGGGGCACGCCTTGGGGACGCCCCCCGCCCCCAGTCAGTAGAGAGTTGCAGGGTCCCCAGTTCCCGCCCAGGGCCCGGAGGGGCGAGGGATGAAGTGTGCTGCCACTTGCTGACCCCGGTGGGCCCCTGCTCTGCGCCAGGCTCTCCATGACCCCCGAGGAGCACAGGGCGTTCTGGCGGAACGTGCAGTTCACCGTGGACAAGGATGTGGTCCGGACGGATCGGAGCAACCAGTTCTTCCGCGGCGAAGGCAATCCCAACGTGGAGAGCATGAGGTACTGCCTCCCCATCCCCCTCGGGGGAGCCCTGGGGAGTGGACGCAGCTGCTGCTCCTGGGGGAGGCCTTGCTTCCAGGTTCCTACAGTCTCCCCAGGAGCAGAGGATCCTTAGCTCTGTTAGTCTACAGCCTCCATGGTCCGAGCGTCCTGGGGAAGCCCGCCGGACCCTCCCCAGAGTGCCAGCAAAGCCGCCATCCTCTGGGCATCCGCTCGGCCTTGCTTGGCTCACATGAGCGGTGGCTGAGCCTCCCTGCATGTCTCCCAGTGGGTGGTCCTCTGGGTGGCAAAGCCACACTGAGCCCTGGGTTGGCCTCGTGGACATTCTGCTGGCAAATAACTGCACAAAATTAGCAGCCCATAGAAATGTCCCTGCCAAGCCATCCTTTGTCACAGGCAGGCGGACATTAAGAAAATCAGACCCACCTTCTTCTTCCCCCTCACCTGAGGTCTGGCGGGTGGCTAATTGCCGGCCGTTACCTTTCCCAAGACTCCAGAGCCGGTCCCCAGGCTGCCGGCTTCCCCTGGGAGTGAGGCGAAGGACAGGGCTCAGGCAGCCCGGGGTCTGCACCCTGGGCTCTGCGGGCCGCAGGCGGCAGGCCCGTTAGCTCAGCGAGGGCGGGGATGCGGGGATGCGGGCGGCGCTGACGGGCCTGCGCTCGGCTCGCTGTCAGGAGGATCCTGCTGAACTACGCGGTGTACAACCCGGCCGTCGGCTACTCCCAGGGCATGTCCGACCTGGTGGCGCCCATCCTGGCCGAGGTCCTGGATGAATCCGACACCTTCTGGTGTTTCGTGGGGTTGATGCAGAACACGATCTTCGTCAGCTCTCCTCGGGATGAAGACATGGAGAAGCAGCTGGTGAGGCTGGCCGCTGTGTGTGGCCGTGTGTGACAGGGCCGCGGAGGGTCAGCAGAAAAACCCAGGGGGGCCTTGCCGTGGGGTACAAAGGGCTCGGCCCCGGGTCCTGGGGGAGGGCACAGCTGCTCCGCCCCCGATGCTTCCCTCCCAGCCCACAAGCCTGCAGGCTCAGGCTGGGCTGCGCAGGGTCCTCCTGGTGGCCTTGTCACCTCCCGTGCATGGCATCCCAGCCCAGCTGTCCTGGCCACCACACCTGGCCCTGAGCTTTATAAAACGGGTCCTCGGTGTTTCTGGGCTGCTCCCGAGTGGGGGTGGGGAGGAGAGGGACTCCTCGAGCCACCCTGAGGCCCACTGGGCAGTGGTCACCCCCCAGGGCGTCAGGCCTTTCCTGCAGTACCAGCCAGCACCCCTCCCTCCACGGCCTCATGACTGTACAGACCAGGCAGCACTGAATGTTGGGGGGCTGGGGAGGTTGGCTAAGGTACCTGGGGGTTCCAAGTACCTGCCAGGTATGGGGCACTGAGATGTGGTGGAGACCCCCAGTCCTGTGGAGAGCTGACAGGGAGGGGAGGTTGCGGGGTGCTGGGGAGGGGGTTGGGTGGAGAGAGCGATACAGATGGAAATAAGACAGGCGGAGCGGAGGGACTCGCCGCAGGGGGGTCAGGCCTGGACACTGCCGAGACTGGGCTGAGCAGCATGTTCCCGGCGGCGGCCCTCCCTGTGCAGCCCTGTCCTGTCTGACTTCACGTGTCGTGTGCAATGCGGGCGTCCAGTGCCACGGGGAGGGTAGCCGTCAGGGGGCTGGATTCTGCAGGCTGGGAGGAGAGCACAGCAGAGGACTGGAGAAAAGGCGCTGGGCAGGGAGGTGTGCATTGCAGGGGAGGGGCACCTGGGCGGGGGGAGGGGTGTCGGTGTGGGAGGAGTCAGCCACCTCCGTGGGCCACAGGATGGAGAAAGTGGCCGGTGGGGAAGGACTGGGCCGGTGCGTTCCTGTCTGGAGCAGGGACAAAGAGCTGCTTGTGAGGGAAGGGCCCGTGAGTCAGAGCCCCCCCCCCCGCCCCAGAATCCCCAGCTGCGATCCCGGGGGCGTGCGGTCCCCGCCGAGCGCTCCGTCCGCACATCTGTGTGATGTCAGGTTTCCACGGTACCTGGGGAGGCAATTACGGGCCTGACGCCACTCGGCCCTGCGCGCCGCTGGCGGAGCGCTCGTTAGCCCCGGAGATTGGTTTTCCAGTGGCGAAGTCAGCAACCCGAGCCGGGCGCTGCCGTGAGCAGCCTCGCTTTGGTCCCACGTCCCCCGGTAGTGACCTTGGTGCAGACGCTGAGCATCCTGGGGTTCAGAACCGCCCGCCCCTTGCTCTGTGTCAGCTCCAGAACATGCTGGGGCTTCGAGGTCTGAGCAGCAGGTGGGTGGGCCCAGGGTTCCCAGGAGGGAGGGGCTGGCAGAAACAGCCCCACGTGGCGGCTGAGGCCCAGGGAGTCTTCCCTGCACAGAGCCGCCCCGGGCCGCCCCAGGGCCTCTGAACAGTCAGATCTGGGCCAAACTGGCCGAGACAGGTGTGGGCCGAGTCCAGCGGTAAGTGGACTAAGCAGGTGCAGGCGCAGCGCAGAGCGGTCTCGGGTACGGCACGTGTCCGTGTCGGGTGGGGTGGCCCGAGGAAGGCTCCTGGGAGAGCAGGTCCGGGCCGGGCAGCAGGCTGGCGTGGGCTCCGGGCTAACTGATCCTGCCTCACCCAGCTGTACCTGCGGGAGCTGCTGCGGCTGACGCACCCGCGCTTCCACCAGCACCTGGTGTCGCTGGGCGAGGACGGCCTGCAGGTGCTGTTCTGCCACCGCTGGCTGCTGCTGTGCTTCAAGCGGGAGTTCCCCGAGGCCGAGGCCCTGCGCATCTGGGAGGCCTGCTGGGCACACTACCAGGTGGGCCGGTGGGTGAGGGGAGGGCTGCAGGGCCCGTCCCCGGGCCACAGCCACCATCCTGCACCCTGCCTTCCGGGAGGGGTCCCCTCCTCAGGGTCCCCTCCTCTGAACCCCCAGCTCCCCACTAGCTCCATGTCAGCCCCTCACGTTGCCACCGCCTTCCACCCCACGTGGCTGGCTTCAGACCTGCAGCTCGCCTCCAAGGATCTGAAATCGATGCCAATTGCCCACTGACTGCTCACACCTCCTGGGGCTGAGCTGGCCCCTGTCACAACCAGTCAGCATGAAAGGTGTTTCTGGGGCCAGGCACGCCCACCGCAGCCTGGGACCCCAGTGCCCACGTGCCAGAGCCCGCCTCCTCCCCTTGGGGCGGCTCAGGGAACAGGCCGAGACCCTGCTTCCCCGCAGGGAGCCCGGGCCGGCCGCCGGCCCCTCCCAGTCATGTCCACGTCCACTCACCCGCCGTCCGTCCTTATCAGCGTCTCCCGGGCGAATCTCCCGGAGAGTGCAGTCTGGCCCTGTCGCGTGGCTTTAACACCCAAGTGAGCCACATGCTGACGGTGCTAAGGGATGGCAAGTCTCCGACTCCGTCGGCCTTTCTAAAAACAAACAGGGTTGACGTATCGGAACAGCCGGACCCTTTCTGCCGGAGCTGTTCTCTCTGCAGCAGCCCGAGCGGCTTCCGTCCCACAGGTGGACAGATGGACAGAGCCCCGACAGCCCCACAGGTGGACAGATGGACAGGCGGACAGAGCCCCGACAGCCCCACAGGTAGACAGATGGACAGGCGGACAGAGCCCCGACAGCTCCACAGGCAGACAGGGCCCCGACAGCCCCACAGGTGGACAGATGGACAGGCGGACAGAGCCCCGACAGCTCCACAGGCAGACAGGGCCCCGACAGCCCCACAGGTGGACAGATGGACAGGCGGACAGAGCCCCAACAGCTCCACAGGTGGACAGAGCCCCGACAGCCCCACAGGAGGACAGATGGACAGGTGGACAGAGGGACAGGTGGACAGAGCCCCGACAGCCCCACGGGTGGACAGGTGGACAGGTGGACAGAGCCCCGACAGCCCCACAGGTGGACAGGTGGACAGAGCCCCGATAGCCCCACAGGTGGACAGGTGGACAGAGCCCCGACAGCCCCACAGGTGGACAGAGCCCCGAACTGGGGCCTCTCAGTCCACAGGATACCCTCAATCCACTGAGCCATACAGCTGGGCCAGGGCCCTTTAACTTTTAAGGTGGCCCCTGAGTGAGAAGGCTCTATTCTGTTTCACTCGGGGGGCTTTGGGGGCTGGACTGCCCTGGGCCATATCCTGGGAACTGAAATTAGTCCCGTACAGCCCAAGTTAGGACATGACACCCCTCCCTCCCTACCGTCCTCTCCGAGAAGAGCCTTCCTGTCTCCCCACCTTCCTGTCTCCCCACCCCAGCAGAGTTCACAGAGCCAAGGGAGGATCATTCTGAGCCCAAGCAAGACCATTTCGGGTTTGTTCTGGGGAAGGGCCGAAGTCCTGGGCCCAGCGGTCTGGGGGTGTTCTCTCCAGGGCACATGGGCTCTACCCTGCCGGTCTAGAAACATGGTTCCCTGTGGTCAGCATCAGGAGACTAAACACGGGCTTCCCGGTGCGCCTTGTCCTTCCTCTGGCCCTGGAAGCATGTTCAGATCAAAGCCACCAGCCCCGAGAGCGTCCGGACAGGAGAGCTCCAAGGTCGGACCGAGGGCCAGCTTCCTGCGGGCTTCCTGCTGCGGCCGCGTCGCCGCCCTGGGGCTCAGCCCTTAGGGTCTCCTTCCCGCCTGAGTGGTCTCTGGGCAGGAGTTGGGACGTTTGGCCAGGAGGCAGGACGGCACGGACGGGTGGGTGGCTGCCGGAAGGTTCTCGCTGGTGTGGTCCTCGAGCCACGCGAGTGTCTGGCCCAGCCTCACCACTGCGTCTCAGGACCTTCGGCAGCCAGCCTTCAGGATGGGCACAGCCGTCAGAGGCGGTGTGCTCTCGGCCCCCAGGCAGGGCACCCAGAGGGTAGGGGTCCCCCAAAGAGTAGCAGCCCCTGGGAGGCCAGGACCAACGTCATGTCTGTGGGTGTCCCAGCAGCCTGTGGAGACTGTTACAGGTACTGACATCGGCCCTCACAGGTGGGAACTCTGGACCAAAGAGGTCGTGTGGCTCGTCCGGGGCCACACACCCGCCCAGACAGCCTCAGCTGCACCCCCTCTCAGCCTCCACCTGCAGGCAGGGCCCAGGCTGGGTCCGGGGCCTCCTCTGAAGCCCACTTTCCACACCCGCAGACGGATTACTTCCACCTTTTCATCTGCGTGGCCATCGTGGCCATCTATGGGGATGATGTCATTGAGCAGCAGCTGGCTACCGACCAGATGCTCCTGCACTTTGGAAACTTGGCCATGCACATGAATGGCGAGCTGGTCCTCAGGAAGGTGAGCGTCCCGCCCCCACACAGAGCTCCTCCCCTCATGTTTGCAGAGCAACACAGAGCCCCGCCCCCACAGCCTCGCCCATGCATGCAGAGCTCCTCCCCTCATGTTTGCAGGGCAACACAGAGCCCCGCCCCCACAGCCCCGCCCATGCACACAGAGCTCCTCCCCTCATGTTTACAGAGCAATGCATAAAGCCCCGCCCCCACCACAGGGCTCCTCCCCTCATGTTTGCAGAGCAACACAGAGCCCCGCCCCCACAGCCCCGCCCATGCACGCAGAGCTCCTCCCCTCATGTTTACAGAGCAATGCATAGAGCCCCGCCCCCACCACAGGGCTCCTCACCCCACCCATGCAGAGCAACACACACAACCCAGCCCCACCCACATTTTTAAGAGCAGCACACGGCCCCGCCCCCACATGGCCCCACCTACATGCGTAGGGCTCCTCCCCACACACAGACTTCCCACTACATGCAGAGCCCCGCCTCCACTCAGGCCCCACCCCCACTGTACTACTGGGAGCTCCCCACCAAGCCCAGGGGTCGGCCCCTGTGGCCACTGCGTGAGCCGGGCTGCTCGCTCCTCAGGCCCCATCACCCAGGAGGCTGTGACACAGGACCACGTGGTCTGCAGAAATGACCAGGGTTGTTAGACAAGCTCCCCACCTTGGAGCATCTCACTCAAAGCCCAGAGACAGGACAAGAGAGGAGACTAGGGGGAGGGCGTCTGCTCCTCCTCCAGGGTTACTGGGATAAAGGGGGTGTGCGTTTTGCCAGGGCCCCACTCCCAGACTTCTGCTTCTGAGAGATCACTGGAGGGCCCCGGGTCAGTGGTCAGGTGGGCAAGGAGAAGGGTTGGCAGTGGAGACAGAGCCTCGTGTGGGGGCCGAGTGAGAGGCGTCTTAGGACAGGGGCTGGGCGCTGCCCTGCTCACCCTTGTATGAAGGCCCTTTGGGGGACATTCTTTGTCCGGAGCCATGTATGAGGACGGTTCTGAGAACCCTGCGGGTCCTGTCACTGCAGCTGGACCAAGGGTCCCTCCGAGCTGGGGGTGAATGGTTACCTCAGGCAGAGCCCTCGGCCTGAGCCTGGCACGTGGGCAGGTGCTCCCGCCGCCCGCTGCCCCCTGCCCGTCCTCACCGCCTGTCCTCTCTCCCTGCAGGCGAGGAGTCTGCTCTATCAGTTCCGCCTCTTGCCCCGGATCCCCTGCAGCCTGCACGACCTGTGTAAGCTGTGTGGGAGCGGCATGTGGGACAGCGGGTACATGCCCGCCGTGGAGTGCACCGGCCGGCACCCGGGCTCGGAGAGCTGTCCCTACGGGGGCATGGTGGAGACGCCTGTGCCCACACTCCCCCGAGAATGCAAGAAAGGCCCCAAAATGCCTCGGGAAGGCTTTGGTTTCCACAGATAGGTTGGGCTCCCTGCGCTGGACGAGGGTTGGGGGGACCCCCCTGGCGGTCCCCAGCATGGGAGGGGTGGGGATGGGCATGGACTGGACCGGGCATGGTCGAAACGTAATGAAATGCCTTTGGGCGACACGAAGGGAACATTTTCATATTAACTATGGAAGCAGAGTCTGCACGTGAGAGGAGGAAGTCCCGCCAGCCGCCCAGGGAAGTCAGCTCCTGAACCGGGTGGGACCCGGGCGCCTGGCGCCCACCTGGAGACTCAGGGGTGGCCCCTCCCCTCGCCTTCCTCCGCCGCATCGGGAGGATTTCCTCCAGCTCCGTGCGCAAATGCAGGGCGTCCAGGCAGTGGGGAAGGCGGACCGGGAAAGAAGGTCTAGTTCACCCACCAGCACCCAAGGGTGCAGCCCGGAAGAGGGGTCCCGTCCAGGCCCAGAGACGTCTTCGCGAGCCAACCACCTCCCAGCTCCTCCGGCCACCGGTGCGGCAGGGACGTGAAGACATCTGCCCCTAACGTGAATCAAGCCCCGCTGACTTCAGGATGGAGAGGTGTGACCAGTGGGGCCTTGAGAAGCTGGGAACGTCCACGCTGCTCCTTCCAACGTTGACCTCCTGGTATGTGAAGGCAACTGCTCGCGAGCCTGAGCCACGAGGGCTTGGTGACCTGCGTGCTGGCTTCCTCCCCACGCCGAGACTTCTGCGTGAGCTTCTCAGCGTTCAGGCCAACCTCACCAGTGCCGCCGCCAGCGGGGGCTGGGGGAGCAAGGGGGTTTGTGCCTCAAGCCCTCCGGAGGGAGGGACGCAGTGTCCGGGCACGGCGGGGTGTTCGCGTCCCAGCAGGACAAAGGCACGAGGAGGCAGCCCGCACTCAGGACGCCTCTGCTCGCTGGCTAGAAACCAGGTCTTCCCAACACCCTTCCCTCCCAAAGGGTTTCCCATCAGTTGCTCCTCAGCATGTCAAGGACAGACCAGGGCAGGTGGGGGTGAAGAAGCTCAAACCCTCCAGCACATTCTCGGGGAGACCTGGCGAAGTGCGAGAGGCGGAGACAGCCCCAGCTGGGAGCGGCTTCCTGCCGTTCTCACTGGGTGGCGCTGGCCGCTGCTGGGCGGTGCCATCCATTTGAAACATGTAGAAAGATGCTTATCAACAGGAAGGAGGAAATTAGCAGGCTCCTCTTCTGGACTCTGCTCACCAAGCACCCAAGGTGGCTGAGACTGGTACTTCCCGTCCCTGGCCCCTCTGTCCAAGAGCCTTTTGGGGAGACCATCCTGGGGCCCCGTCTGTGCCCAGATCTTGGGGTGCTGACCATGACAGTCTGGCGTCAGGGGTCCCAGCTGGGTGGGGGTGGATCTCTCCTCCACTTTGCATCCGGGAAAAAAAGATTGCTTTTCTCTGTTGGAATTGGCTCAAGTTAACCAGGTTCTATGTGGACCCTCCTCAAACAGCCGGGACCCCGAGAACAGGCGTTATCAGTTTCCCATTGCCACGCTGGTGCTGCGTAACGCCCCCGGTACTTGGTGGCCTCAAACTGCACACACTCATCTGGCCCGCGAGTCTGGGGGTCTGCGGTTGAGGCTGGGCAGTCTGGTCTTGGTGGGGCTTGCTCCCATGTCTGGGGTCAGCCTGTTAAGTCCCAGGGGGTGCCCACCTGTGCAGAGGTGGGACTTGGCCCTGCTCCATGTCTCTGCATCTCCTGCTGGCTGGCCCCGGCCACGCACAGGTGCAGGAGCGGAAATGCTCAGACACCTTTCCAAGCCTTGGCAGACATCACACCTGCGGACATCCCGCTGGACACAGCAAGTCACGTGGCCGGACTCAGCATCAGGGGGTGGGGATGGACCATCTGTCTCCATAGCCAGAGGGACTGTGTGGTGAGCGGGCAGGGCTGGGAACCGGGGGGTGGGTGAGGATCTGGGCGGCCAGTACAGCCACCACCACCAGGAAGTCTTGGTCCAAATGTCAGGGTTTGGGACCACGCCTTCTGCAGCCCGGGCATGATTCCTCTGGAGAGGCAGGGAGTGCCCAAGAGGGGAAGAGGGTCCTCCTCCGGCCTGCAGCTGCAGAGAGTCGTGCTCGGCTCTGTGATACCTTGTGCCTTTGGGCTGCTGGGGGGCGTCATCCAGGGATCCCCTCATTTCGAAGGTCCTGATGTAAAACATCCTGAGCGTCCCGGTTCCCACAGCTCCCCAAGACCTTGTACCAAGTGCCACCCCCACCCTCCCTCAGTGCTCCCACCTCAGAGCAGCCGGGATGGTGGACACCCTGGATGCGTGGGCTCCGGGGGGACACCCTGCTCAGAGGGCTGAAGGCCCGCCTTGCCCCACCCCTTAATCTGGATGCAATTAGAGGAAGCCAGCCAGAGACCCCGAGGCAGCTGCCGCCCAGCATCATCCCCAGCCAGGCAAAGGCATTAGGGCGATAATTCAGTCATTAGACTCCCAGCCTTCCCACCGCCTGAACGTGCAGACGAGGTGATCGGCCCGCGCCGCGGTCTTCCGCGGTGCTGCTTATTTAACCCATTTTTTAAAATGACACTTAATGTTATTGGCGGGCGCGTGCGTGTGCATACCTGAGTGTCGCCGCTAATGGCTGTGCCGGCGTGGCGGCGTGCCGCCGGGCCTCCAGGAAAGGGCTCTGCGGTGGGGCTCCGGGCCTGGGGAGGCGGAGGGGGCTGGGTGGGGGGCTCTGCTCAGTGATCTGGGCTGGAATGAGGACCTGTGTGCCAGGAAGACGTGGAACTCCCAGCCATGGGCATCTGAGCCACGTGGGGGGGGGTGGGAGGGTAGGGAGGGACCCCAGCCCCCCAGGAGGAGGGCAGCCCCGTGTTGTCCTGACTGGCCCAGCACCAGGCAGGATGGAGGTGTGGGATCTGACCTCCACTGTGTGCTGTCTGATTTTCCTGCCTGGAGCCACTCAACAGGAGGGACACGCTGGTCCTGAGACCTGGGCTGCAGGGCAGTAGCTGGCACGGGCCACCCACCTCCAAATTTTGGTAGATGGGCGTAGGAAACCGGCCGACTAAGGGCAGGGGCAGGGGCAGGGGGCGCCCTGGTTTTCCCCTCGGCTTTGTGAGTCCCTCCGGGCTCTCGGCAGCAGCGGTTTGGTAGGAATGACTTGGAGCGGGGCAGCCCCCTAGGTGGTGGGATCTAGTCTGGCTCTGCCCTCCAGAAACCTCCCCCGATCCTGCATCTCCTGCAGGCAGCCGGAGGGTGCCGGAGCGCCCGCCCAGGCTCGGGGTTCGGTGGGCCAGCGCTGCCCAGGACTGGCCTGTGAGCTGTGCCTTGTTCCCAGGGAGGTGAGGGGCCCGCGGCTCGGCCTGAGGCCGGCACCTCCCCTGCAGACCCTGGGTGCCAAGCAACCCAGGATAGATCAGCCTGAGAGCGTTCTGTCCCTGCCCAGAGGAAACACCCCGAGGCCAACATTTCCCCCAAACCCCTGAAGCGCAGGGCGGTTCCCGGGGGGAATGAGCAGCCTGCGTCTCAGGAGGACCCTTCCCTGGGGGTCAGGCACCTGCTTCCTGTCCTGCCTCCGCGCCTGCCCGGCCTGGCCCTCTGCCGCCTGTCCCCTCACCTGTGGGATGAGCAGTGACGTCCACCTCAGACGGCCGTGGGAGGCTGACCCACCCCTGGGACCTCACCTGCCACTCAGGGAACAGACCACTGACCTTGGCCTTCAGCAACCTTGACCAAGAGGCACCCTGCTCCAGACCCCAGTGCCCCTCTCCACGGCGTGCCTCTCTGTGCCTCTTTTCTGTAAAATTCACCTCATGCCACCCCACACCCTGCCCTGAAGACCAGTGGACCATGAGCCATACCCTCGGCGAACCAGCCAGATTGTCGTGTCTGCCAGCTCCCGGGCTCCTGCGAGGGGGTGGGCGGCGGCCATCAAGGTCTCAGCCCGCTGCTGCGGAGACAGACCACCTGAGCTGGGGCTCTGGCCCCTGGGTCAGCCCTTGAGAGACCAGGGAGGGCCGTCCCTGGGTCCCTGGGCCTCCGCGGGGCAGGGCGGGGCAGGGGAGGGTGCTGCTCGTCATCCGCAGGCATCTGGCCTCTGGATTTCTCCGTGAGAAGGTAGCATCTCAAGTTCGAAGGGAGATCAAGTCGCGTGGCCACCTTCTCTCCGGCATCTCTGGCTTAACAAGGACACGGTTCCGTCGTCCAAGGGAACGTTTCAGGAAATTCCCAGCAAGACGAAGAGAGGACCGATGTCCGTGGCCAGCGCTCCTTTCTCTGTTTTGTTTTGGTTTCCAAACATGATCACCCGCTGGGCAGGCCCTGCGCCCGGCCCGGACTGGTCACGGTGGCCCGTGGCCAGCCAGCAACACGTCCACTGTCGTGGGCTCCACCACCAAGTAAATAAAACGTGTTGACGAGAAACGTGTGTTCTGGGGCACCTCCAGGAGACGGTCCGGCGGGTTTGTCACGTTCTGGTGCTGGGCAGAGGACCCCGTGGGAGATGGGGGGCTGCTCCCGTGGGGGTGGGAGGAGACGTGGAACTGGTGGGGGCAGGGGAGAAGGCTGAGCTCGGCCTGCAGCGGGAGGGCCGGGAGAAGGAAGGCTGTGTCCCCGCCACGGAGAGGTGCATGGGACAGGTGAGCCGGGAATGAGCCTTCCAGCCCCAGCAGCTTGGGTCCCTGAGGCCGGAACATGCTGTGTTCTGTTGCGACTTGTGTGCGGGGACCCCGCCCCGGGAGGAGCCGAGCGTGCCTGCATGAGCTTCTTTAAAAATTTAGTTTTTCTTTATTGATGTCAGAGAGAGAGGAAGGGAGAGAGAGAAACATGGGTGAGAGAGAACACCAACTGGCCGCCTCCTGCATGCCCCCCGCTGGGGATGGGGCCCACAGCCTGGGCATGTGCCCTGACTGGGAATGGAACCGGTGACCACTTGGTGCAGGGTCGACGCCCAGCCACAGCCACCCCGGCCGGGCCATGTGTGAGCTTCGTTAAGGAGGGTGCACTGGGCCTGCCGGGGACCGGAGCTGGAGGAAGACTTCAGCCTTAGCTCCTGGGAACCCGGGAGCCT